GTCACAACTTCTACAGGATGACGATGCTAGATCATCTCCCCCGAGCCATGGAGATCAAATCACTCAAGATCAAGTTATTCTACTCAACGATGATGTGGAAGACATCGCTAAACCGGCTGATCGGGGTATCAACACTGCCCCAGCTGTGGTCATGCGAGAAATGATCCGTCAACTCGCAGGAGGCCACCGACGGCTTCTGCAGAATATGAACCTCGATCTTGTGACATTAGATATTGGACTTGCAGAAGAAACAGCACAGGAACTTTTCTCCATGTTCGTGACCTCTAGGCCGGGCCTTATCATTGTCTATGACACAGAAAGCCCCCAGTCTCTCCAAAAGCTTCGAGTTGAATCGCCATTCCTATTTAGTGTATGCTGCCTGGTATCTATGCGCCACTGGGAAGAAAAGCATAAACATGATACAATGCTGAGGTTAGCCTACGAACACGTTAGATCGGTCTTGGGTCAGGTTGTGCTTGCGAGTCCTCTCCCTCTGGGAGATGTGAACGCTATAGCAATCTTATGCAGCTTTTCTTTTGCTCCGAGCATGGTAAGCCCTTTTGACGTATTCCCTCTGTCGTTTACTACACAATGATCTCTTACAATCTTACAGAATGGTGTTGAGTACATCGATAGTTGGCTGCTCAGTAGTATGTCTGGTCAGCATGGCATGTTAAGCATTAGCTTCTCTCGAATCGTAGATAACGTCAAACGGGGGACATATACTGCTACTGATTACCACGAGATCAGGCTTTGGGCTCAAATCTGTCTCAATCATCTTCAGTAAGATAGTTTGGCCAATATGTCCTCCTTTCTTCTAACTTAACACTCCGCAGATGGGCTGCGACAACCGGCCGCCCGTCATCGATTACTGCCCCGTACCTAAATCAGTGTTATATCCTAGTTAACATGGATCAAGCCACCGTGCAAGATGGTCAGATCGTCGCAAACCTTCATCTCTATTCTAGTTTACATAGAGCGTTAGCAACCCGGCCCAGCTCACACGAGAAACCGTCAAACGAGGAATTCTCGGCGTGGAAACAAAAATGGAGCCACTTGTTAAGTATGGCCAGCTTTGCTCTCGACTGTTTTGTATCTGTACTGACGAGTTTGATGTTGCAGCTCAGCCAAATGTCTCACTACTTGAATTCAATTATTATGCTGCCCATCTCATTCTCGCGGTTCGCTGTATAGATGAGAATGGACACGGTATCCCCCAGAACTCGCTTGGTGCATCCGGCTTGGACTCTCCTACCTACACACCAGGTTTCACAGCGCAAGGCTCATTGCTTCCCATGACGCAAGAACTCGATCGGAACTCACGAAATAGTCCAAGAGTGAACGACCATGACAACAACTACACAAACACATACGAAGCACTCGCCTGCAAGTATGCCCTGCTTATGATCCAAACATCCATCGATATTTCTTCAGCTCTCATAGTTGAGATGCCCGACAATCTCAAGCTCTGTCTCGCGTACTCAGCTCTGGTCATCACCCAGTACACCCCAGATAAAGACATCACACCTGACATTATTTACGACTCGCTCAAGGCCTTGGAAAGCAAAGCTCGGTCGCACCCTTTCTTGAGACCGAATGTTTTGACGGCAACCCTGATAGCGCGTCATAGAGTTGAGAAACGGTGTTGGGAACAGGCGCAAAACACGACCAACCGCCACGAGATCATGTCACCGTGTAGACACGCTTCCTCTGCAACAGGGTTCCCATTGCATCAACAACACACCTCCAACGTGTCACCAACAATCGAAACACATAGAAGCAACCCTGATGAAACTTGGAGAGAAGATGAGCTTGATGATATAGCTGCGCTTGACATAGAAACACTGTTCCCGAGCATGGAAGACTTCTTCGCCGGAGGCTTTAGTCTGCCTGAACTTGAACCAGGTTCATACTAGTGTAAATCCTAGTAAATTCGGAAATCGAATTTTTACTTAGGCAGCTCTTCCTACTCTAAGAAGACCTTGAAGCAAGATCGAAACAGAGCGGAGTCACGTGATTGTTTCTTGAGCGTAATAACGTAGCTAGTTGGAAGAAGACTAACGAGCAGCATCTATCGTTTTATTCTATTTGAGAAATATTCAGCTAATTAAATTATTTTTTGAATCCATCCTTTAAGCGTTGAGTTGGCGATCAGAGTGGCTTCAAGTAGCTCCTTTGCTAAGTAGGCAGCCAAGTGAGGTGAGGTGACTCGAACGGCTTAGCGGGATGGCGGGATGGCGGGGTGAACGAAAAATTGTGTTCCATGTTAAACCCCCACCATCCAATATCCTCAGCTTCAACACCGAAAACACTACGTACGATCACACCACGATACACTCTCCCGTGGTTCTCTCTTTTCTCAGAGACATCCTCACAAGGCCGCCAAGCTGTTCTCCCTCAAAGTAGCCCGCCCCGCGCTTCGCAGCGTCTCGCCGCTTCGCCAATTCCTGACCTCAGCATCACCAGCCGCTCTCCATCCACGCCGATACAGCGCCATCATGGCCGCCATCGCCTCGCAAAAGTATACTCCCGCCGAGGAGGCCGAGATCGAGCAGTGGCTGACCACCGCCAATCGCCTTAAGGCCCCCGGCCCCGAGACATCCTCTATCATCGAGACCCTCAACACCCACCTGTCCTCCAAGACCACCCTGCTCGGCACCAAGCCCAGCAAGGCCGATCTCGCCATCTACGAGGTCCTCGCGCCCACCGTCAAGGGCTGGACCCCTGAAGAGCGCACCGGCCAGGCAGGCCATCCCAACATTGTGCGCCACCTCGACTTTGTGCAGAACAGCCCGCTGTTTGGCCTCGAGGTCGCTGAGGCGGACAAGGTCAAGGTTGACCCGGAGGAGATCCTCTACGTCAAGCCTCCCGTCGACGCCAAGGCCGAGAAGGAGCGATTGAAGAAGGAGAAGGCCGCCGCTGCTGCTACCGCGGCCGGAGGCGAGCAGAAGACGCTCGTGGACAGGACGAAGGAGGCTGCGGGCGCTGCTGTCGAGACGGTGAAGCAGGCCAAGGATCAGGCCGTTGCCGCCGTCGCAGGCGAGGGCAAGAAGAAGGAGAAGAAAGAGAAGGCCCCCAAGCAGCAGAAACAGGCGGCTGCCCCAGCTGCTCCGGCGCCGCTGTCCCCCGCCCTGATCGACCTCCGAGTCGGACACATTCTCAAGGCGATCAAGCACCCCGAAGCCGATTCTTTGTATGTTTCAACTATTGCGATGGGCGATCCCAAGGGAACCCCCGACACCGAGGAAGTTGACGGACAGGTCACTCGCACAGTATGCTCCGGTCTGAACGGCCTAGTGCCTCTGGAGGAGATGCAAGGACGCAAGGTCGTGGTAGTCTGCAATCTGAAGCCTGTGAAGATGCGAGGCATCAAGTCCTCTGCTATGGTCCTGGCAGCGTCGCCACGGGTAAAGGAGGGCGAGGCGGATGATCACAAGGGTCCCGTCGAGCTTGTCAACCCGCCTGCGGACGCGAAGGCTGGCGAGCGTGTCTTCTTCGACGGCTGGAAGGGCGAGCCCGAGAAGCAGCTCAACCCTAAGAAGAAGATCTGGGAAACCATCCAGCCAGGATTCACGACTACCGACAGTCTTGAGGTTGGGTTTGAGGCTGGTGCAGTGAAGGAGCTAGGCAAGGAGGGGCTAGGCAAGCTGACCACGGAAAGCGGAGGCATTTGCACAGTCAAGTCACTCAAGGGGGCCACTGTTCGGTAGAATCTTCAAAGCACTGATGAGAAGCATGAGGGTCATAGAGGCACGAAAGAAAAGACTAATCAATTCATTGCACGAAGCATAGCTATTCAAAAGCGCCAGGAGATGTGATGATACCAGCTCGTGGCCAAATTTCCTTTAATGAGAAAACATATCTTAAATGAATGACTTTCCAACTCGAATTTAGCCCCTGAGTTTGGTTTGTCTATCATAGAGTAAATACAGTTTCTAGTGGAGTGGCCGTCGCAGGGCATCCAGTAGTGACAGTGAATGTTTCTGTGGGAATGATGCAGCCCGTCTGGCACCCAGTACACTTCGGGGTGACCGTCACGGTAGTCGTCGTAGGGCAGATAGAGGTACTATCCAGTCTATCAGCAAGAGTAAACCATTATAGCGGAGGATTACGTACCTGCAAGGGACTTCAATGGAAGTAACTCTAATGTACAAGGGGCACACAAGGTCTGTTGGCGGTGCACAACGAATGTAAGGACATATAGCTGAAAGAGAAAGATGTCAGCGGCATATCTAAGATATGGGAGCACATATTACATACTGGGTGATAGGGTTTCCGTGGCAGTATAGCATCCAATTGGCGATGGAGTGATGCACGCGTTCAAATCAGCCGGAGCAGCGTTCCTATCTACCGTTAGGTAAAGCTCAATGAGAAAACAAGGGACCGGACTTACGAAGGGAGTGCCCAGAGAAACAGCCCAACAACACTGAGGACGGTGTTTAATGAATGCATCGTGATAAGAGTATAATAGTCTGTGAGATACAATGATGAGGTATAGATTGGTTGCTGTCTTGTTCTGTCTGTGGCTGCCAGATGCACCGAGCTCATATGGGTCGAGGCGTTAACGGTTTTTATATTAAACAAAAACCCAACGCCGCCCCCTGGCTGCAGAATACTGCTCGGCCAGCAACGTGTAAGCCGGCGAGCGTTGGATCAGCCATGTCTCGTCTGTCATCCAAGACACTTTGCGGAACGGGCGCTCTTGGCCCATGCCTGGGGTCAGACATGCTAAAGGTTTGTTACACGGCCAGCTGCACCTCAATCGGGTGGCATGACCAGCCATCTCCAGCAACTCAACTCTAACGGGCGGGTGTTCGCCCCTGGTATGCGCCCGGAGCAACTCAATCGGATTGAATCAGAGACCCCAAGAGGCGCATCATCGTCAGTATCGATTAGAGTTTCTTTTGGGCAGTGACGATCCCTCTGGGCGACTCACTATCGCGCCCTGTAGCCGTCTCCGCATTCTCCGCAAATACGAATCTGTCATTCTCCTTGTCTTGTCTTGCGTAACACTAAAGATATGATAAAAATAGCTAGCAACGGCCAAGGAGTAGTGCAATTTCGAAAGCAGTTTAGTGGGCTTGCAGAATACTTCCAGGAACCCAGTCGTGGTGCCTGCTTCAATCTATATTGCGTCGGCTGAATCGAGATCAAAATTCAGTATATAGCCGCAAGTAGGTAAGGGTTACATTCGAGCTGAGCTACGAAAAGTCCCCAGGAATTCGATTCCTACAAAGTCCCTTGCAGCGCAGCCCTGAGTCGAAATGACAGGGACCGCTGGGATGGAGGGGCGGAGGAAATTAATCCTTCATTGCAATTGGTGCATCGCGATGGAAAGAAGCTCCCGTGTCCTCCCTGGGCAGATGTCAGCGATCGGCAGCTAGCCGGCCGAGAATTCCACAGTACCGCGTGGGAAAAGTAAGATGGAGAGACTCTTCGGCTCTTTCGCCGAGTCGCCTGAATCAATTGATGCTAATGGAGCTTCGACTTAATCGTTCTTTATGTCCGTGATACATTCGTCCTTTCTTCGATCTCATTGTACGACTACTATCCTATGATTCAAGTATGTCCCCTTGATCTGTCCGCGAAATATCGTCGGTTCTCCGTATGTCAAATACAACGTCAGGTTTCATGTCTTATTTCTCGATAGATACAAGGTGTCAAGTACTAAATGATATATCTATGGCTTGCAAAGTTACCTCTACATCTCTGAAGACGAATCTCTAATCGTGAATATACAAGAGAATAATCTGTTATTACGAGGTAAGTACGGGCAACTCAGATGCTTGTGTACACACACATATCTGAGCTATCTTACGTTTCGGTTTTCCTCTTTCTATACTGAAATAAATCTCGCGATATAGCTTTTACTAGATTTCATGAATGGACTTTCATTTAGCTTGACACTCTCACACGATAACTTTGCTACACAGGATCCTTAAATGTGTAGGACATATCGATAGAAGACGAGACACGAATGGAACAGACCGTACTAGGTCACAGGTATGAATTAAAAAATCTATATGTCTACGTGTGCGGCAAATCAAGATCAGTGGACCTTCAAAAACATGCGGAGTCTTCTACAACCTGAAGCATTCACGGCTCAGAATATGCTATTTGTCCTGTGTTGGTTATGCTAAAGCTTTCCGCAGCTTTAAACTCTTCGCAAATATCCGAGTCAACACATTGAGGTACAGTGATATTGATTTACATCTGCGTATAGTGGGCTGTTTGCTACGTGACATAGAGGGGAAAGATATGGCTAGGATTCTGTTATCTCTAATTGCGCCTATCGAAAAATGCTGGGTGGAGGCGGAGCTGAATTGCATGATGGAAATTAAGGAGGGATCGCTGTTGCATGGAGTCTTGGCACGAATCCTTCGAGCTTGGACAAAATAGACAAATTTCTTTGCTATGAAACATACTTCTCCCTAACAACGAGCCCCAAAACCAGACCGTGTTTTCGCGTGGTGAAATTATAGTCAGCTGAGAGCATCGAGGTGCTGCAGGTTGGCTTGAGGCGGCAGAGATCCAAGTCCACGGAGGGAGTGCCATGGCGAAGGCATTTCTGGATACTTGAGCCTCTTGATTGCTTCGACCCCAAGGCTCTCGATGCGTGCCTGCTCGTCACAATGGCAAAGAATCCAGCATTAGTCATTCTCGTAACCATTTTGTCTTGCATCCTCTTTAATTCTGCTACAGCAATATCTCCTATATCCGTGAAGGGTACCAAACTTTACGATAGTGATGGCAACCAATTCTTCATCAAAGGTAGATTTATACCTCTATTTTAGCGCAAAGCGCCGCCGAATTTAGGTGCTGACAGCTTCCAGGTGTGGCGTATACAAGTGGAAACCGTCGGTTAGACCCTCTGCTCGACAATGGACAATGTCAAATCGATGCTGGTTTGATGAAGACTCTTGGGGTCAATACGATACGAGTATACACAGTCGATGGCACCAAAAACCACGATGCCTGCATGCAAACTTTCGCAGCTCAAGGCATCTATCTTTGGCTCGATCTGCCAACTCCTTTACATGCGATGAGTAGGGTGTGTTACAGTTCCTTTCTGAGGTTCCCGAACAATATCTAATAGAAATTGGTAGATCGACCCAGAATGGAATATGGACTTATACACGAATTGGACCGGCACGGTAGATGCCTTTGCCGGATATGATAACTTGCTGGCCTTCACTATCGGAAATGAAGTCATCAATGACGGTAAGCCACCATTGACCTGGTAAAGCATAGCAAGGAGACACGTTGACTCATCTCGCATCACAGATAAAACAACCATCACCGCACCATATATCAAAGCCGCTGCACGAGACATCAAGAGGTTCCGAGACGCTCGAGGCTACCGTCAGATCCCAGTCAGTTACACAGCCACAGACCTGCTAGAAACCCGAGTTCCTACTGCAGACTACCTCGCTTGCGGTGACTCTGACGATGCTATTGATATGTACGGTATGAACATTTACTCGTGGTGTGGCAATGCCAGTTACTACACATCCGGCTTCGATAAGCTGTATGAGCAGTTTCAGGACCTCAATATTCCTGTTGTATTCTCTGAAACAGGATGCAAAACTACAGGGGACCGCGAGTTCACCGAAGTAGCAACTATGTTAGGGCCCGTATTCCAGGCTGTCTTCTCCGGAGCTATAGTGTACGAATGGCTGATGGAAGAGAATGGATATGGGCTTGTTGAGTATTCGAACTCTCAGAATACAGGGTTTCCACAAACACTGGATGACTACAATGCCTTATCCACAGTGTTTTCGACGGTAAATCCGCCTGGTACAGCTATGACGGCGTACACGCCATCGAACTCGGCACCTGCTTGCCCTACCAGTGATTCTTCTGATGGATGGCTTGTTGATCCAACTGCCGCTCTTCCTACGATTGCTGGGTTGCAAGAAGAGACCATTACGGCGCGAACGACTATAACAACAAGTACAGCGACACGAAGCACGACTGCATCAGAGGCATCAGAGACGTTAGCAAGTCCATCCGGTGGCGGACAGCAGCAAAATGCAGGGGGTGATGGAACTCCGACCGGAACAATTGTAGGCATCGCGATTGGATGTGCTGCAGCGGTAGTCATAGTAGCCGTGGGCGCGTTCTTCTTCTTCCGGAGGCGCAGGTCAAGGCGACAGGTCCAAGAAAAGGGAGGACTGGCCGAACCTAGGGGCAACAGCTCTCAGGAGGGCTTCAAGTCCGAGTTGCCAGCACAATCCGTCAAACCTGTATTACCAAGACAAGAGATGGATGCGTCACAGGTGCACGAACAGCCTCAATATGGCGTTGTCGAGGGCCACCATGAGCTGCAGGGCGGGATATATCATGATAATATTCCAAGTCTGGGGCTGTATGAAATGGAAGGCAACATACCAGCGACAATGGAAGCTCAGCAGTCATCCTCGCAAAGATAGATTATATATAATGCATTGATTTCCAGTCTATCTCACACTTTCCCTGAAGCGTGCTAATCCCGTGTGATACTGAACTCAGACTACCGTGATCCGTAAGCTATGATATTAAAATGATGTTGCATGATATTAGAGCCAAATACTACTCGTGCCATGTCATTTGGCTGCGTGTTCTATATTGTCAGTCGTACAAATAGTCATAAGTAAAAAGCCAGGTTTTCTTAACTGATGTTATTCCCTTTGGATAACTAGTTGAGTTGCTGTTTCTCCGAAACTTAGACTGAAACTGTCAAATTCAAGTGCAATAGAAGTCAAAAAGTCTACCATTACTCTGTAAGTATGTAGCATGTACACAGTACTATCACTCCCCTAGGTAGTGGCGAAGCAGATCCAGAACTTCCTGGCGAGATCTCTCATGATGGACATCTTCGGCCACCTCTTTGGGAGCTTTGTTTGGAAAATTTTTACCAGTCGATCGAGCTGTAGAATCCGCCTCGGCCTCAATAAATGCCTTCACAGCATTTGTTTCAGCGAAGCGTATGGCATAGTGCAGTGGTGTTCCCCGCTTGACCGAAGTAGTATTTGGATCAAGACCCTGGCAGATCAGATATCTCCTCATTGTTTCTTGTTGTCGTACACGTGGGGCGACGGCTGAGAAAAACAGGTCTGGACTTAACTTTGCACCAAATTCGACCAGGACTCTACTGCTCGGTATTTGGTTCATATTGGCCAACGATAGCGGATACTAATGGACTGACATTGCTTGGCCCAGTCAAGTTTGGATCTGCACCATGCAAAAGCAATTCACGAGTACATGCGGCTTTGAGCATGAAACTACTCAGCAGTATTTAGTTTCGAAACAAGTATTGCCAATTGCCAAAGTATCGTGTGATAAGTAACGTAGATTAGAAGAGGTTCACCATTTCTATCTCGAGCATTTGGATCGAGACCGTGATCCAGATAGTGCCGAATAACGAGATGGTTTGATTCATCTGACAGGGAATCCACGGCATCTTGCGTGATAGTTGCACCGGCTTTAAAAAGCGCTGCTACAACTTCTGGATAAGCACTCTCAGTGGCACCTTCTAGGCCTTCTTGGAGATCCTGAGAGGCTAAAGATCGGTTGGCGATGCTGTTCTCGACCGATGGGATGTGTCTCCATGCCAACACGAGTCGATAAATGCCTCGTCAAGTGGAATTGCAGAGGCTCTTTCTAGATCAGAGTGGCGGAGTCAGGAAAAGTGTTGTTGATGGTAGTGGGGAAACAACAAGATGAAAACAGTGATAATGAGATTTGGACTCTAAGACAGATTAGAAACGAATAGACTAAAGCGATAGTGAATGCCATATAATATTTCTTCAGGTTTCCCTTTGAGGTTAGATTAAGATATTGGTTGAAATAATAACAAGTCCTCCGTTAAGGGACAACACTGATATAATGTCACCTCATGATACAGTATGAATTTCAATCCTCATGTAAAACGCTAATAGAAATGTCAAACAGTCATATAAACAAATCATGTTGCCGATGTCTGTTTAACTTCTCCACATTTTGTTTCAATGACAGGAGACTAAACCTTGTCCTAAACATCCTAGCCATATTCACTATTTGAGATATCCAAGGCGTCTTCTCCGGCACCTGAGAGTGAATCTGAACCCCCGGAGGGGACCCAGAAATTCTAATGTGCCATCCCAATTTTTTCTTCGGCAGAAAACATTGAGTCTCTAGATGTCCACATATAAAAGTCAACTTTGCTCCTTTTCGTTTTAAGCACGCTGTAGAGCTATGAAGATAGCGTAGACTGAGTAATTGACCAGCGAGAGGAAGTGGTGGCAGAGGTGAAAGGCATATATGCTGGTTTCGCTATGGTAGAGACAAAATGTATGGGGTTCTTAACTCAACATTAGCGAGCGTTTGGCAATGGCTCCTGAGCTTTGTTTTGGCTGTTTATGTATATTTCTCCAAAATTCTCGTGCTGATTCGATCAAAAAAGCCATCATTGAATTTTTGGACATGTGTATCATACCTAGGTATTTGAATGGGGGCTGTAGCTCTTGTTTGCCAGAGGGTTGGGGTAGATTGCCCCGGGGATTTTGAACGGCTCAAGAAAGAAGTCAATCCCATGACTCCACATCTTCGCAAGCTAAACAAAACCCACGGAGTTATGCACGAGTCCCATGATTTTTTCTTCTTCAATTTCAAGGTCTTGCCATTATTGATAGGACTACTCCATATGTTTTTTTTCACTGTCTCAGCGTTAAGGAGGCTTGCGCGAAAGCCACAGAGCTACCAAGCTATCTTGTCGGGTCTTGGAGTTGTGGAGAGCTATCAACACTTGCCACTGCTCATCGGCGACTCTTTTTTGTTTGTGCCGTGTCCGGCCTTGGCAGTCCGGTAGCGACGGACTAGTAAAATGATTGCTTGGCGGCAGCAGAGATTGGCCAGGAAGAGTGGAGACCATATCGCTCTCAATTTTGTCGAGTCTCTCATGAAGGGCAGTGCAATTGCAGCATCTGGATTGGTCCAAAGCGATAACACTGATTGGCCGCCGGAGAGGTGTAACAGCCCCGATCTCTGTCTAAGAAAAACAGTGCGAATATATCAAGTACATAGTCTTACTCAAGGATAGAAAGTATAGTGCGGCTGCCCTAGACAGGAAAACTAATAATTTGCGCCAATCAAGTCAGACTGGAACGCACTTGGCCGGTCTTTCCTTGAGGCTCAGAACGGTTCCACCATTCTCTCCATTTCGCCTTCTTCCACCTGAACTAAGGAATCGAAGAGCTCCTCCCACTGAGCATCGCTCATGACCTCATCCTCCTGGCTCGTGGTCTCCAAGGCATTGTCTATATTCGCCTCATTTTCCACTAATTTGGTCGTTATAGTAGCGAGCGTCCCGTGTCTGCTGTCTTGCTCTGCTCTCCAACCTGCTATGCACCGTCGACCGCTTTGGCTTTGATGATGCCCCCGAAGCTTATCCGCGCGATTGAAAGCTCTTTTACAGCCCCAGGGTGTCCCGGCCGCCAGAGTTCCCGAGCAAATGAATGTTCGTTTATCCGAATGGATACCTTCATGTCGTTTGCAGTCTGTATAACGGGCGAATTGCTTGCCGCGCGTATTGCAGGCGAAAGGTTTGGAGTTTTCGTGCGTTCTGACGTGACCGCGCAAGGTGAAGGCTCTGGTGAATTTTTTAGGGCAATGAGGGCAGCCGAACACCGCTTCCGCCGTTCGCTTTGCTGGTTCCCTTGGAGGTGCTGGGAATTCTAGGTGAGCGCCGGGATCCACGCCGTGCAAATCGAACATGTGCTTTTGTAACGCTTTCTCTGTACTATATCCCACAATCCCCATCTGACAGTGAGGAATGCTGCAAGTGTAGGGTCGATCGTGTTTATCGACATGTCGATCTCGTTCAGCTTGGGAGCTGAACCCATCGTAGAACTTGAAACAGTTAACACGTGGACACTTGAACGATTTGGCTCCATAGAATTCTTCCAGTTCAGGAGCATGACGAGGCAGGTTTATGCCTTCAACTACCTCCCTTATCGCCATGGTAGTCGAAGACAAGTCCAGCGGCTCACTTGGCGAGGGACCTTTGTAATGGATTCCCAGTTGCTTTCTCGCAGACACGAAAGCTTCAGTAAGCTTTGCAAAGCAATCAAACTTTCGGAACGCATCTAGCTTATCCTTGATCGCCGATGACACTGTTTGCTCTTCCGCAGCTTTCGACCAATGTAGATCTAGGAATATACCGAAATATTCTGCTAGTATTCCTATAGACTCTTGGGTCTGAGTTGTTCCTATAGCAGATTGGAAATGGAGCGACCAACATGCCACTGCATAATCATAAAAGGAATAATATCCTTGGCGAACATACCTGTGTCTTTGTGAGAAGTCAACATGATTAAGACATGCCTCCGTACACAAGAACGCGATACTGTATTTTGTAATTTCATATTCAGCATGGTTCAACTCGACGTATTTGCTCCGTACAAGGTATCTTCTTAGGTCAGTTCGGTATAGCGCCAAACTTTTACCAGATCAAAGCTTACTCTTTCGCAGTAGGGTGAACAAGCTGAACTGAATCGTCGATGTGCCGCTCGATCAAGGACAAACAAAGATCCATCGGATCATCTCGTAGCTTTCTCGCATTATGGTCGATTGGATTGTTGACGTCGTCCTCGTCGAATGCAAATAGCCCTTGTATCTCGTACCACCTCAACGGCCTCTTTGCACAAACCAGAAGGCTTAGAAGGCGAGCGACGCATTTTCGTTTCGCAGGAGTATGTTGCTTCTCGTCAAATATTTGACGCAAAATTGCTTCGTATCTAATGGCGGATTTGTTTAGTATTATTATGTATCGAACATTTTTACTCAATGTTCCCACACGGGTAGACATGCTTACAACGCTCCAATGTCTTCTGGAAA